TTCTTTAAGTTTTCCATTTCTCTTCCAAGGATTATTTATTACATCTACATAGTTTTATAACCCTCATTTTAGACTTAATTCCCATGTTTAATTGGTTTTATTGCTCACCATCATCCCTTTAACATTTATTCTACATTCTTTAATATATTTTTTTCATTTTGTTATTTTGATAAACTATACATGAGGCTTACCATTTTAATAATTTTTAAGTATACAATTCAGTGACACTAAGCAAATGCATAATGTTATGTACTCATCATCATTATTTCTTTTCAAGCCTTTTTCATAATTCCAAACAGAAACTCTGTATTCTTTGAGCAATGACCCCCCAGGACTCCTCTGCCTCAACCCCTTGTAACCTCTATTCTACTTTCTGTCTCTATAAATTTGCATGCCCTAAGTACCTCACAAAAGAGGAGCCATACAATATTGCCCACTTATGTCTGGCTTGTTTCACTTAGCATGACATTTTCAAGGTTCAGCCATGTGAACAGTATGTATCACAAATTTCATTCATATTTTTTGGCTGAATAATTCCACTATATTTATATACTACCTTTTCTTGGCATATAGCTTTTTACTTTTGTATTTGGTTGAACAAAGTGTATTTTGGGGTCTCATTTTTAATTATTTAGCTTTGATATAACTTTACCTATGCTTAATATAAAGACATCATATTCTCTTACTTATGTATCAAATTTGGATTTTCATATATCATTCAGAGTTTGAAGTATTTCTTCATTATATTCCCCACAAAATAACAGTTTTATCTTGCTGATGCAACCATCTTTGGCTATATAGCTTTGTTTGTACATCCATTTGAATATTTTAAATCAGATTTTGTTATGTATTTAAATGAGTAAAAACAAGGAAAATCTGATGATACTATTGTTGAGACGCATAGGTTTCATAAAACCATAATAGAGATACACCCATTAATTGTACTGAGATGATGAATATTTAGCCTCAATTGAATATTCATTGCAATTAATCCACTTGATTCTATGTTTACATGAAAAGAAAATAGGTAATTTAAAGGGATTGGCTCCCCTTACTCAATTTTTCCTGTTTTGTCTCTGGGAACTCACTTTTAATAAGATATGAGGCTTGCAGAAGTGGTAACCATCTTGCAACCATGAGGACAAAGTCAAGAGATGGAAGAAACTCAAATTAAATGTCCTGATATCACAGAGCCATAATTCTAGATTTGCCCATTTCTACAGTTCCTGTTATGTGTGAATTTAATGTTCTTATTAATAAACCAAAGTGAGGTAATAGGATATCATGAGGGTAAAGACCACATTATTAGTTTCCTTATCATTGTACTTACAGTATCTAGCAATAGTAGAAAGCAAATTATTACTTGACAAGATGAATAAACAAAATGTTTAACAGATGTTATAAAAGACTATGTCAAACAAGTAAGAAGTAATTATGAATTTATGAACCTCCTATGTCCTGTAACGTGTAGACTGCACATTGACATTTCATATTCAAAAGCCAGCAGTTGAAGCCAATATTAGTAGAAACACTTTAAACTACTTAGTGAAATGTTCAAAGCTCAATATAGACTAGCTTGAGTGTTAAAAATTCTGATAAGGATCAGTTTCAGAGATTCCACAGTCTTTCTTGAGTTTAAACTTAAGGAGCCCTATCAGGTTCTTACTTTAAGATCAGAGAAAAATCTCTTGCACCCAGTGAAGGAAGGGGAAAAGTAAGCATTTTGAAATATGGACAGAGCTCTCTGTTCTCCCTAACAAGGTCTACTATTCAGGTCATTTTTTCGTTCTTCAAAGGATACAGCTAAAAGATTGGAAACACAATTATTTCTAGGAGAAAATAATTGTGCATATGTTCAATAATAAACTTGTTCCACAATAAAGAATTCTTATAACTCAATTAAAAAAATAATTAAAAAGGGACAAAAATATTTGAACAGATACTTCCCCAAAGATGTAAAGATGAGAAGTAAACATATGAAAACATGCTCAACATCAGCAGCCATGAGAAATGCAAACCACAATGAGGTTCCCATACACACAGGCAGGAACAGCTAAAATAAGGATACTTGAGAATGCCACATAATGGCAAGGATGAAGAGCAACTAGAAATATCACATGTTCTTTAAATGTAAAATGTAAAATATACCACCATTTGGGGAACAATTTGGAAGTTTCTTAAAAAGGTAAACACAAATGAACCACATGGCTTAGAGATCCCACTTCTAGATTATTACTCAAATGAAATGAAAACTTTTGTTCACACAAAAGCCTGTACATGATTGTTTATAGGTAGCTTTATATGTAACTATCCCAAACTGGAAGCAACCCAAATATCTCTCAACTGTCTAATGGATAAACAAGTTACAGTATATCTGTTCAATGAAATACTATATAGCAATAAAAAGGAACAATTATCTATACATGCTAAGATATGGATAAATCTTAAATATGTCAAGGGAAAGAAATGAGACTCAAATATTATATACTGTATGAATCCACTCATATGACATTCTGAAAAAGATAAAAATATAGAGACAGAAAACAAAGGACATAGCAGAGGAACAGTTGATTACAATGGGGCACAGGGGGATTTCTGTTGTGATGAAATGGTTCTACATGTTGATTTCGATAGTGGTTATACTACTGTATGCCTTTGTCAACCTTTATGGAACTACACATTAAAAAAGGTATTTCCTTATAGTATGCATTAATATAAAGTACAAGAAAAGGTAAAATAATAAAATTTCAGAAGAAAACAAACATCTTCATGATATTGGAATAAGTTATTTTCTTAAATAGCAGACAAAACCCACAAACTTGACAGCTGACAGGAAATAAACACAAATTTCAACCATATTAAGATGAAGAATTTCTGTGTGTTAAAAGACACTATGAAGAAAGTGAAAAGTCATCCCTCAGAATGGAGGAAGATATTTGCAATTCACATATCTATGAGGGACTCATATCTATCCAGAATATATAAAGGACTCCTATAATTCAATGAAGAAAGACAAATAGCTTATTTGTGAAAGACAGGCAAAAGACTTGAACCAGCACTTTACAAAAGATGATTTTCAAATGGCCAAAGAACATTTGAAGTTTGCTCAACTTTATTAATCAGCAAGGAAATGCAAATTAAATCCACAATGCAATGCAATTACATACCTACCAGAAGAGCTACAATGGAAAACACCAGCTGTTGGTGAGGATGTGGAATAAATAGATCTCTCACACTTGTGGTAGTGTAACTAATAAATCAAAAGACATGCAGCAAGCTGTCATAATGGCACTCTTCATAACAGTCCCAAACTGAAAATTAAACTGAATTTTAAAAATGTGGTGTATTCACACAATGGAATACTACATAGCAAGAGAATGAAAACCACAGTGATAACTCAACTATTTATTATAGATAGATCTAACAAAAAATATATAAAAATCAAACAATCCAGACACAAAAGATTATATATTTTATGATCCATTTATATACATTTCCAAAGCAAGTGAGGTATATTGTTGGAGGTCTAGATATTGGACACATCGTGGAGAACAGTATCTCAGAAATGTACAAATGGGGCTTTGGGGACATTGATACCATTCTTGATCTGGAGGACAATTACTTGACTGTGCTCATTCTTTGCAATTCATGGAGCTGAATAATATAATGTGTACTCTTTTGTTCTCATTTACACTACAAAAATAAGTTCAAAGCATACTAGGAAATCTACTCAAAAAGCTAGAAAAATAATTCAAGTAACCTAAAAAGTTAGGAGGGGATACTGGGAATATTTCAGTATGAATGCATCTTGTCTCCCTTCCCATTTTAATTTCAGTTTGTTCCCCTCTCCTAAGCTGAGCAACAGCTAGAATCAGCAGTCCAGCAGGCCTTCAGCAGAACAAGTAAGTCTTCAGGCTCTGTAGGAATCCGCATAGAAAACACTGATGCCAGCCTGAACTTCTCTGTATTAAATGACACTTTATTTTCAGAGAGTTCCAGGGCAAGTATTAAACCTAGTGTGTTCTAGGAAATGCATGGCTTTCCAGGACTGTGACCCCAAAGATTAAAGGAAAGCCCTGCTATCTGTATGGCTTATCTCCCCAGCTTTCAAAGATCTGAAGAGGATTATTGCTAGTTGCCTTTTCCAGAAGCAGATGTTGAGACAGAGTTGAGGGTAGAAAATATTTATTAGGGATTAATACCTTTGAAGGGAAGCAGGGCAGGAATATGTGAGAGAAAACTGGACGGAATAAAGGAGGTAGGCCCCCAAATGTTTCAGCCACCTGGTAGGGAAGGCTGGAGCAAGTATTGACTGTTAGAGTATTGTAACAATAAATTGTTTCTAGTTCATATGTGAGAAAGTGAATTACATAAAACACAGAAGTCACAGTACACTTACTGAAAAAGAAAGCACTCTTCACACCACCAGAGCTGTAACTAAAGGCAAAACCTGACACATTCAAACTCATTTTCTTTAACTAGAACTGTGTTTATGCTCAAGATATCCATGAATCAGTGAAAATTTCAAAAGTGCAGCAGAATGTAATGCAAATCAGAAATTTAAGCTGTTCCCCCAGTAAAAGGCGATTATATATCCATCCATCCATCTTGGTTGGTGAATCAGAAACAGATTTGAAACTGGCGATGGGGTTTTGAAAGGTTGGGTTCAGGAAGAGCCTCAATCGACCAGTCAGTCCAGCTCCCCAGGCTCAGGCAGGGACATCCGGGAGACGGGTGGTGGAGACTCACCTTTAAGCATGCACACTGAGATCCCCCTGGGGAGTCTATGACGGCTGGAACTGTGCTCTTGGCTAGAGTGGGTAGATTGTCACAGTTTGGTACATAGATTATAAAAAGAAGTAAATCACACAGTTTGTGATGAGAGCAAACGGGACAGATGGCTTCACACAGGGCTCAATGAATTAACTGTGGGAAGAGGCTGGGAAAGGAAATGACATAGGGAGGAGAGACTGATATGGGAAAATTAGAAAAAGAGTAAGTGAAAGAATGAGAAATTTTATTAAACAGACATATTTCTTTTGGACACTTTCTCAAACTTCTGTTGGAGTTCTCCTTTGAACTAATACAACTGGGACCCTCACAGAGAACACCTATTAAGCGAACAGCAGGGACTGTAGAAATGGACTAAAATACAGTCTTTTTTCTTCCTAATGCTACTTTGCTTTCATTTTCCTAGATTTCAAGATGGCTGAGAGCACGAGGTTCTGGGGTATGGTACCCACCATACTGAAGATGAGCAAAGACCCCAACAAACTTCTCCACAGGGCAATCTCTGGCTTGATCGGGCCGAAGACTTCCAGGGCCACGGGAATATCTCCAAAGCCTGTGCCGCTGAGTGCTGTGAGAATCCCTTCACGAGGCCTGTTCTGGGAGTTTGGTAAGTGATTGGCTTTGTCTTTTCCTCTTTTTTGTGATGGAGTTTTTGGTCTCGCAGTGTGTGCATAAGCAAATCAGGATGTTGAAGAAGCAATCTTTAGAAGAGGAGTCCAGCGACACTGACTATGAAGATCCTGTAAAGAGAAAAGATGATGAAATCTTTGACTTATCCCGGAAAAAGCCCCTGCTGGCAATGCATCTCATCTACTTTCTCACACAGTTGTCTGTACAGGTGGTCTTGTTGGTCATCCTTACTCACTATCACATGCCACTGATTAAAAAACCCATTTGGTGCAGTACCCACCTGTGTCACGGCCCTTACACACGTGTGATAATGGGGACACAGGAAAAGATGATGTCCTTTGTAATTCTGGCTACTTTCTCAGTGGTTATCGTGGTTTTCTGCGCCATGTTCTTCCTGTACACTGCTGACGTCTACCTAGTCACGGGCAAGAATCTTGTCTAAGAGACGCATAAGCTCCATAAAATCCCGACAGGAGCCCTGCCGATCATCACTGAGTACAGAACATGGTGCGGATGGGAAGGAGGCCGACAGACATCTTGCACTGAAATGATACATACTTAGTTCATGTTCCCAGAACATCTTTATCGTAGAAAAATAAAACTTGGAAGTGCGACAAGCCTGCTTTCTTCTCATATGGGTGATCCTTTTACTTCATAAAGAAAAAAACTGGAAGAGGTTCCAGAGTATTTTAAACTGAGGGCATTTCCCCCTGCCAATTTTGATATCCCATCACAATGAAATTTTAAGGTTTTCCATTTAGTTGATTAGTAACTTAAGACTGGGGTTAAGAGAATTTATGTAATAAGAATTTTAGAGGAAATGACACAGTGGAAAATTATATATGATCAAACATTATAGCTCCTTAAATATGTTAATACAGTAGCTATTGCCACTTACAGTATTCTTAAAATAAGAAAATACAAATACAATCTTCTAGGTGTTCTTACTTAAGTAAACCCCAATGCAGATGTTTCAAAAGGGGGTGATACCAAATATTTTGTATAAGTAGAGAGGGTAAATGAATAAGAGAAAGGAAATAGTGTGTTTTCAGAGCTTCAAAGGAAAGGATTGAGTTTCAGATATGCATTAATGAAAGGAAAAGAAAGACAACAGAAACAGCAAATATACTGCTCTGCTTGAACAGCATCTATTTCCCTTTGGCACTTTATTTCATTATTACCAACTGTGTTTCAGCAAGCTGAACTCATAGGTGTCAAAGTGTTTAAAATTTGAAAAGCCAGTTCTTCATAGAACAATTGATTATTCTACACTGGCAGAAGACTTAAGTTGTAAAGATAGTCACAGCTGCTCTTAGTGGGGCATGGATACATTTGGGGGCCAGAGAAGTATCATACGGACATTCAAAGAGCAAGAGAAACAGCTCCTTATGAACCAGGATGATTCATCACAAAATAGCAACTTAGAACACAAGATTATATGATATTGTATGGATATACATACTTGCAGAGGTAGGCATTGACATGCAGTGTTAGAATGGCAGCCTGAGGACCCCTTTTAATGTGTGGTGAACTACACCAATGAAATCAATGAGTTCAATTGGCAAAGTCATCTTCTGGTGATCGGTGTGCCCCTCCCACAGGCTCCTCTCACACTTGCTATGGATTATGCATCAGATGATCCCAGATGTCTATAATTTGTGACACAGAAATACAAGTCACAAGCAAAATGGTATCTGTGGCCCATTTTAGAAGCACCAGATCATATCTTCTCAGTAGAAATTAAATACCTGCCATGTTATGAATTTGCCATGTGTAGGTAAATTCTCCTCAGATCTAATATCTGTCCAGTTTTCCCCATTCAGTCCTTAGTATTATGTGATCATATCTCACTGGATTTCAGTAACAGCTGCCTGTCCTTGACCCTCCCATTCTCCCCACTGCTGCCCCAGGTTTTCTGTGGCAAACATTGTTTTGCCACTTCCATGCTTTGGCTCCTCGTCATTCTAAGAAAAAACTTAAACTCTTTTAACATGACTTATGAAACCCTGTTTTTAAGTCCCTATTTAGCAATCTGATCTTACATTTGACCATGACCTCCCAACAGGTCTACACTTCCTGCTCTGACTGTTGGAGCACCTTTCACATGCAGTGTTCCCTGATCTCTCAGCTTCCAGGCATGTGCTTTACTTTCCAACTGTGATGCTTTTCAGAACAACCCTCATTGTAACTCTCTTCATCTACCTAACTTCTACTAATGACTAATTCTCAGTTTACATGTCACTTCCTACAGGAGGACATCCTTGCTCTTCTCAGTCTGAATTAAGAGGTCTTACTCTGAGCCCAAGTCACGGCACTTACAACAATGCCTGTTGAGTTGCCTTTATCATCCACCAAGACACAACTTCTTCATAATAAGGAATATGTCTAATTTGCTTCCTCACTTATATGCAAGACTAAAACACATCATGTATGTTGAATAACCATTTGCAGATAAAATTCTTAAATGAAACATCACTGTTGCCCATGTGATAAAAGTAAAACACCAGTATTTCATTTAAAGAAATTAGTAGATGAAATAATGTTTTAAAGTTCCACATACACATTAAGAATACTGATTGAGATCTTAGAAGCCAAATTACACTTACATGGCATGGAAAGGGACAAATATGGGACCTAATTGCTTTTTTATGTTTTATTTGTGTTAGCATATATACATTCAAACTTACTCTTTTTCATGTACAGTTCTGGGTGCTGACAAGTGCACAGAATGGAATAACTACGACCATAATCAAGATACAGAACAGTTACATTAGCCCAAATATTTCTCTCATGCTGTCCCTTTGTAGTTAACCTCTCTCCCCACTCTAAACAATTGACAATTACTTATCCATTCTCCATACCTATCATTTTGTCTTTTCCAGAATGTCATATACATGAAGTAAGTAAAGTATACACTGTTGAGTTGGGCTTCTTCTACTTATCATAGTGCATTTAGGATCTATTTACATCAAGGAGTCTTAAGTTTGTTCCTTTTTAGGGCTAAATGATCCTCCACTGTAAGGATAAATGGGTATCCATTCAACCAGCCTAAGGACATTTTCAGTCACATCCAAAGGGAGCCATTATAAATAAAGCTGCGACAATTACTGTGAACACTCATGAACAGGTTTTTGTGTGAGCATAAATTTTCATTTTTCTTGGGCAAACACTTTAGAATGGGATTGTGGAGTCATTTGTAAATATATGTTTAAAATTTTATGAGATACTGCCAAACTGTTTTCCAAGGTGGTTTACCATTTTGATCTTCACTAGCCATATATAAGAATTCCAGTTGCTTTGCATCTTGCCAAAATTTGGAATTGTTAATTTTTTTACTTAGTGATTCAAATAGTTGTTCAGTGATATGTTATTGTGGTTTCAATTCATGTTTTTCCAATGACAAATGATATTAAACATCTTTTATGGGCTTACTTACCTTCTATTTATTTCTCTAACTAAAAAATTTTTCCCCATTTTTTTTGGATTGATTGTTTTTTATTGTTATTAGTGAGTTTTGAGCATTCTTTAAATATCTTGGCTGCAAGTTCTTCATCAGACACATAATTTGCAAATATTTTTCTTAATCTGGCTTATCTTTGTATTCTATTAACAGTGCCTTTCACTGGTTCATAACTACCACTATGAATGGCCAGTCATGGCTGTTCTATATACTTTCACATGTAATTTGGAACATGCTTTGGGGCAAATATAAAAGCTTAAATTAATTTTATTGGTTATGAGAATCAGGAATGATTAGAAAACATGGAAGAGAGGCTAAGTAAGCCAGAGTTTTTTCCTTACTTTACAGACCAAATTTGGTTGGGAAGAAGATTGATAAAAGTAAGTTGAAACAAGTGTACTGTTTCTGAAGTTTAATCCTTTTATTGACCTTTTCCCCAAAATATTTAATATTTTCTGTCAAACAGCACTATATTTGAGAGACAATATTTTGGAGTGGTTAAGAGCTAAGCTTCTAGCATAAGATTACAGGTCTAAATTCAGTTTCTAGCATTTTGGCTATATTAATTTGGCAAATTGCTAAGTTATTTAAGTGCAAAGTGGAAATGAAATAATAGTAACTCCGTACTTGTAACTTTGTAAGATTTAAATGATCACATATCATTTGTTAGCGTACTTGGAATACAGCAATGCAAGTACTAGCTACTATTAATACTTGCATTGTAATATCTTCAGTGTAAGACAAAATAGTATTTTTCATTGTTATATTTAGATATATGTGAAATTTTATTATGAACATTTATTATTTTACTAAGAACACTAACATGAGATTTACCCTACTAACAGTTTTTAAGTGTACAATATAGCATCATTATAAAACCACAACTAATTTTTTGTATGTAGCTTTTGTACCCTGCAACACTAATGAATTTATTAGTTCTAGCAGTTTTTTGGTGGAGTCTTTATGGTTTTCTACATATATGCTCATGTCATTTGAAAACAAAACAAGTTATTTCTTTCTGATCTAGATACCTTTTATTTCTTTTTCTTGCCTCAGGCTAGGACTTACAGTACTATGTTGAATAGGAGTGGTGAGAGTAGACACCATTGTCTTATTCTTGGGCTCAGAGGAAAAGCTTTCAACCTTTCACCATTGAGTATGATGTTAGCTGTGGAATTGTCATATATGGCTTTTATTATGTTGAGCTACAATTCTTTATACCCACTTTCTTGAGAGGTTTTGAATCATAAACGGATGTTGGATTTGGTCAAGTGCTTTTTATGCATCTATCAAGATGATCATATGATTTTTAACTTTCTATGAACGTGGTGTACCACATTTATTTATTTGTATATGTTGAACTGTTCCTCCATCCCAGGGATAAATCCCCCTTGATCACAGTGTACAGTCCTTTTAATGTGCATTTAATTCAGTTTACTAGAATTGTGTTTGGAATCTTTACATATATATTATGAAGGATATTGGCCTGGAGTTTCTTTTCTTGTAGTGTCCTTGCCTGGCTTTGGTATCACAGTAGGGAGTGTTCCCTTCTCTTCAATTTTTTGCAAGAATTTGAGAAGGATTGACATGAATTAAAAAAAATTTTTGGTAGAATTTACTTGTGAATCTACCTGGTCCTGGGTTTTCTTT